GGGCCACCAACGCTCAGCCGCGCGCCGAACCCTGCAGGTCAGTTAACGGAAGCCACAAGGTCCGCCCCAAGGACGATACCGGAAGTCCCCGCAAAGTTCTTTTTGTTGTTGAGTAGTATTCCATCAAAAGCATGTACCACAATTTGTTTATTCATTTGCCTATTCATGGACATTTGAGAAGATCCCGAGTTTTAGCTTTTCCAAACAAAGCTACTCTGAACATTCAAGGATACGCCTTTGTGAGGACCTGTTTCCATTTCTCTCAGATATGCTACTTTTTTCTTTTTTTTATTAAAATATTTTTTCAATTACAGTTGGCATACAATATTACATTAGTTTCAGGTACGCAGCATAGTGATTAGACATTTGTATACCTTATAAATTGAACACCCAGATAAGTCTAGTACCCATCTGCCAGTAGATATGTTACTTTTTATTTTATTTTTATTTTTTGGACTTAACAGTTTATTATTATTTATAAGTGTCACTTTAAAAGCATTGATCCATTAAATCATGTAGAAATAAGTATGCAAAAAGTTGGCAAAACAAAGCATACTTTAAACTTGTTTAAGTATAGAGATAATCTGAAATTCTGGATTTTTCAGTCACTTCATTATTATGCTGTGGCAGCCAAGTAATCCTTAACTTCAGTTGGAGTAAGCCTCCTAAATCCAGCTTCATGGCAGATTCCAGCTTCTACATTATCTTCTGTCACTTGCCCTTCAAAGCTTTCCTTCAGGGTTAATAGGGCTGTATGAATGGCATCTTCAAGTTCTAGATCTTCATTATATCTTTGCTCAAGGAAAGTTTCCCATTCACCCGGTTCTTTCCCACTGCTGTGGCTTTCCAGGCAAAGTAGGCTCTTGATGGATCTAAATAAAATAAATATGGTCACCCCTCATTCCAACCTCAAATTAGTAAAACTCTCCAATGGGCGAACATTACGTGACGGGGCGTATTCTTGCACCACAGAAGCTACTCTGCACCAGCTGAGTGGTGGGAATGGGTTCTTGGTAAACAAGATAAGATTGCTGAGCCAGATCCCACCTCTGAGCCCAAGCACTCTAACCTGGGCACGGGCCACCATAGCCAAGCCTGTATGTTTGGTGACTGGCTCCACTTGTGTACACTTTGCTCATCATACAGAATGGGTTTCTGTTTCTCCTCAGTTGCCAATACCACACCATTTGCAGCTTTAATTCCCACTGAAGCGGGGTGGGGGCTCCTCCAGCTACAGCCGCTAAAGCACATGCAATCTGGACAAGTTTACCAGACGGCTGAACGTGATCAACGAGGAGCTGTAACCTGCTCCAACCACGCTCTGCCATCTTTACCCGGAGACTAGGTATGTAACTTTTTATTTGTTAATCCTCACTGGAGGATATTTTTCCATTTATTTTATAGAGTGGAAGGGAGAGAGAGAGAGAGAGAGAGAGAGATTGGGTGCCTCCAGCATGCGCCCTTGACCAGGAATCTAACATGCACAGGCAGACTTCTAACCACAGGCCATGGCTAGATGTGTTACTTTTTTTCATTTAATTGATTTCAGAGAGGAAGCGGGAGGGAGAGAGAATCATGGATTGGCTGCCTCCTGCACGCCCCACACTGGGGATCAAAGCGGGCATGTGTCCTTGTGTCCTGACGGGAATCAAACCATAACCTCCTGGTTCAATAGGTCGACACTCAACCACTGAGACACACCAGCCCAGGCTAAGTGTGTTACTTTTTAAAAATGAATTTACTGCCGTTCAGGTGCAGGTAGTTCTCCCAGGCTCTTTAAAGGACAACCTGGAACAGTGACTGTTTTAACTTCTCTGCTTTCTCTTGCAATTTCACATGGTTCTTGTTTTTGATTGAAATAGGAGCCGCCCAAGCCCTCTGCCTGAGAATGGAGTCTCAGCTGGCCGCAGTGTTGCCCGGCATTGTGAGCTCCAGGGTGGGCAGCAGGAGCTCAGGCCAGCCAGGGACTGTCATCATGGGAGATATTTTCCTCCTTCTTTAACCAGAAAAAATTAATTTTTAAAAATATGTAACAGCCAGGCTGGCATGGCTCAGTGGATGAGCAATGATCTATGAACTGATCTATAAACCAGGAGGTTACGGTTGGAGTCCTGGTGGGGACACATGCCTGGGTTGCCAGCTCGATGCCCAGTAGGGGGCATGCAGGAGGCAGCCAATCGGTGATTCTCTCTTATCAGTCATGTTTCTCTCTCTCCCTCTCCTTTCCTCTCTGAAATCAATAAAATATATGTATATATATTTAAAATATGTAACAGAGAAAAAACACAAAGCATAAACCACAGAAATGGATATGGATATATATATATAATATTTTCATTATTACCCAACAATAGCTACACTCCAACTTCACCAGATACTTACTGAGCACCTGCTAAGTGCCAGGAGAACTGCTGCTAAGGGCCAGTCCCTGGGGATACTAAGGTGAGCACACAGTCCAGGGGGGGCAAGCAACGTTAGAAGAAAGGACCAGGGAGATAGGAGAGCTTGTGACAGGGGTACCTGGGGTGTCTGCAGGGCGTAAGGGGAGGCCAGTGTAGCCAGAGCACACAGAGCAAAGGGTTGTGGCCCACAGCAGAGGTCAGGCTTAGTGGAGGCCGGAGCACAGGGGCTTGCAGAGTGCAGAGCAAGTTGGCAGCCTGGACTTCAAAACCCCAAGCTCCTTTCTGTCTTGTCTAAATTCCACCCAAAAAGCTCCCTTTTCTGACTTGTTCAATTTCCACTCGCAATATGGCTCCCTGGGTTGCAGAAGCACATTTGAGCACTCAGGACTGGGACTTGGTATTCAGGGCAAATCGTCCACCTGTTCCTTCCACCAGGTCACTATTTCCTCCTCCACCCATGGAAGCAGGGGAGAATCCTATCTATTTGGTAGGAATCAGTTGATTGAAGTGTGTGAAGCAGCAAAAGGCCTGGGATTCAGTAGCAGCTCCACAAATATTTAGAGCCAGTCCCTGGGTGCTGAACAGCCTTGCCAGGGTCTGAAACCCCTGCCTTGGTTCCTGTTACCAGACCAATCAGGTAATGGGTTGTTCCCTACTCTCTCCACCTGATACACACACATACACACACACACACACACGCAAACTGCTTCCAGCTTCTCTTTGCCCAGATAAAAATTAGCCCATCCCCCCTTGTCCCCTCCCCACCCTCTGCCCACGATCCTCCCAGTGCAGCTGAGCCATCCCAGCCCCTCCCCACCCTATACCAGTGATTTTCAACCTTTTTCATGTCATGGCACACATACTAGTAAACTACTTACTAAAATTCTGCTGCATGCCAAAAAATACATTTTTTGCTGATTTGAACCCCCCCCCCCAATAGGTGTAATTTTGATTCATTCACACTAGACAGCTATTGTTGTGTTGGCTGTTATCACTTTTTTTGACAATCTAAGGGAAAAGAGGTAGGTGCCCCTTCCTAAATAGTCAGGTATTGCATGTTTTTAAAAAATTCTTGTGACACACGGGTGTGCTGCAACACGCTGGTTGAAAACCGCCGCCCTATACAAACACACCCACGGACCGGGAGAGCCTCAGACTTCCCCAACCCCTGCTCTGCTCTCTCAGGCAAGAGTCTGGCTCTGCCGGCTGCGCAGGGGACAGGAGGGGCTCTCTGTGAGAGTGGGTGGTGGGTCTGTGTGGCCATAGTCTCTCTGGGTAGAAGTATCTGTGTACTGAATTGGTATCGGTGCCCCTGTGTCTCTTAGTGTGGGTGTCAGGCATCTGTGTGCGTTAGTCTGTGTCTCTCATCAATGCAGTGTGGGTCTGTGTGCTGTGTGTCTGTGTGTCTGTGTGTCTGTGTCTGTTCACCTGCCCTGGTCCCATTCCTGGCCAAGCCCCCAAACCTCCACCTTCTGCTTGAGTTATACTTGAATTTATAGCCCCTGCCATGCCAGGCAGAGGGGTTTTGCTGAGGGTTGAAGGGATTGAATGACTAGTTCCCTTTCAGAGCCTCAAGCACTTGTCCTGAATTGGGGAGACAGCCCAAGGCCTTTTTGTTTTTTAGGTTTAATTGACATTTATTAGTTTAAGGTATGCAACAGTTTGTACCTTTTGATCCCCTTCTCTCATTTCA